TGTTCAGCATTTTAGCTGTAGAGGGCAGTGTCACTGGCCCTCACATGTGGGATCCGAACCGGGGCCCTCTGGCGTCCCAAGCCAGCTCTTAACCATCGTGCCACTCGGCCGGCCCCAGAGCTTGAACTCTTGAGTTAGCTCTTAACCAACTGAGCCACTCGGCTTGCCCCTTTCTGAGAGTTTGACATTGTGCATTGTGCTCTCAAGAATTCTTTCCAGTGGTAGAAACAACTTAGAAGAATTCAAAATAAAAATCAGATATAATAATATAAAAATCTGAGATCTGTTGGCATTTCTCTGGGTAAATAATTAAGCATTAGAAGAGTTTGATTTTTGACCTGATATTAATTATCCATCTCTGGTCAAATTCAACATAAAATGTTGGTTTTTCTCCGTAATGGAGTCATTCCACAGGTGTTTATCAAGTACCCACAATGTTTCTGGCAAAGAAGATGTAGCAGTGAGCAAACCTAAAACCTGCTTTCCTGGATCTTATGTTCTGTAGGAAAGTAGGGGAAGTAAACCTTAAACCCACAAATAGTTATGTAGTATAACAGGGGAAAAGGGTGTGAAGAAAAGTGAGGCAGGTTAAGGGGACAGAGAGCGAATATGTACTTGGGTGGAGGAAAGGGGTCTTTCTATTTATGAAGGAGGTCAGGGAAGCTATCTCTTTATAAGGTGACATGTGAGCAGAGAACAAAAGGGAGGGAGGAAGGGAAAAATGATTCTAAGACCATGATCCAGAAGAATGATCCAGAAACAAAGGCCATGAGATAAGGGCCATGCCCACGGGTGTGCTCAGTAACAGAAGGGTGTTTGAAGAGGCATGAGCAACGGGGAGATAGTCTCAGAGGTCTCAGAAGTGGTTGTGGGGAGTACTGGGGCTTATGAGCTGTGATAAAAATCAGCCTTTTTATAGCAAGCTCCTGAAAGGTTCAATCTGACTTCTAATTTTAAAACATCATCCTGGCTGCTCTTTGGAGAACAGACTGTTGGTAGAATCTGGGGGTCCAGTAAGGTAGGTGCTGATGTAATTTTCCAGGACACAAATGATGGTGACTTGGCCGCTAAGATGGTAACAATAGGGAGGTGAGAAGTGGCTGGATTCTGGATAAACGGTGATGGGAGGGACTTTAGGATCTGCTGGGTTGCAGGGTGTAAAAGAAAGAGAAGAATCAAGGATGACTCCAAGACTTTTGGCATGAGCATCCAAAAGAACACGGTTACCATTTACTTGGAGGGAGAAGAGGAGTGGGTGCTGTTGGAAGGGACTTTTAAAGGCGATCTTGATCATTTCCCTTGCCTTTAGGCAAAATACTTGAACCTCATTTATCCCTGTTTCACTCTTTAAATATTTTTAGAATTAGGGTGGTAGTTACTACTTGCATTTGGCATTCCAACTTGTGTGTAATTCTCAATGTCTCTTCTTTATTTTTGTAGATGGCCAAGTGTTTTCTTGGGGAAAGAACAGCCATGGGCAGCTGGGCCTGGGGAAGGAGTTCTCCTCCCAAGCCAGCCCGCAGAGGGTGAGGTCCCTGAAGGGGATCCCCCTGGCTCAGGTGGCTGCAGGAGGGGCCCACAGCTTTGCCCTGTCTCTCTCTGGGACTTCATTTGGCTGGGGAAGCAACAATGCAGGGCAGCTGGCCCTCAGTGGGAATGATGTCCCAGGTAAGGAGATAGTCTTGTTCTTGCAGTAAATCATTATTTCTTTCTGGTTGGAAGACTAGCTTTGCCAAGGGAAGTCTCAAAGATTTGAACAGTGGTTCCCAAATTTTGTGACACAGTAGAAGAATCACCTGGGAGCTATATTAATTTTTGATTGCTGCTGTAGCAAATGACCACAAACTTAATAGCTTAAAACAACACGAATTTATTATCTTATTGTTCTAGCGGTCTGAAGTCTGATGTGGGTCTCAATGGGCTAAAATCAAGGTGTCAGAAGGGCTGTGTTCCTTTTTGGAGGCCCTAGGGCAGAAACCATTTTCTTGCCATTTTTAGCTTCTAAAGGCCACCTGTATGCCTTTACTTATAGACCCCTTTCTTTTTCAGAGCCAGCAATGGCTGCTTAAATCTTTCTCAAGTCATATTACCCTGACATTGACTCTTCTGCATCTTTTTTTCTTCAGCCTAAAGGACCCTTGTGATCTCCCTATTTTAAGGTCAACCGATTAGCAACTTGAATTCCATCTGCTTCCTTAACTCCCCTTTGATGGGTACCCTAACATATTCACAGGGTCCAGGAAAAGGACATAGACATCTTCAGGAGGTCATTATCCTGTTTACCATAAGAGCATTTAAAAATTCCAGTTCCTAAGTTGGACCCCATACCAAATAAATAAGAATGTCTGGGGATGGAAACCAGGCATCAGTCATTAATAAGGATCCCACATATGATTCTTATGTGCAGCAAAGTATGGGAACCACTGGATTAGAAGCTTGCTATCAGTAGGAGAAACAGCCAGTTCATCTGGCAACTTTTAAACAACACTCACCATGAAGTCATTCCCATGGACCAATCCTCCTCTATTCAATTCTTTACATTTGGCTAACATATATTTAGCACTTGTTAAGTGCCAATACCATGCTGAACACTGATATCTCACTTTGTTTAACTCTGTCTACATAAAGTAGGTCCTTTTATTTTCTCAATTATTATTACATATTTGCAGAACACCTACTATGTGATAGAAATGAATACAACATGATGGCAATATTATGGGGATCAGGGTCTTAAAGCTTAGATTTCTAGGGCAATAGACTCAGGTATTCTAGAAGATTAAATAGTTTCCAGAAATAAATGCTAAAAGACTTCTTTTCTTTTCCAAAGCAGGGCTTTCCTTCTGTTTTAGAATACCTCTGATTATTTATTTATTTTTAAAAATTATGTAAATGAATTGTAAGATAATAAAAACATTAAAAACTGTAAAAAATATAAAAACTCATGATATCTGAGTCTGCTTCTTATACTCT